CGCCGCCGCGCGGCGGCCGCGGCGACGCCGACGACGCCGACGTCGTCCGCGGGCAGGCCGAGCGCGTCCGCGACGCTCGCCTCGAAGGCCGCGGCCTCGTCGTCGCCGAACTCGTCGACGTCGACGCCGTCGAGGGTCATCGACGCCGCGAGCGTCGCCGCGACCCCGGTCGGCGCGGGAGGGCTCGGCGCGGGCGACGTCGGCGACGCCGTCGGCGCGGGCGTCGGCGCCAGCGGCGCCGCCGTCGGGTTGCCCGGCGCCGCGGACGGCGCGGGCGTCGGCCGCGGCGTCAGCGCGGGCGCGGGCGCGGCCGTCGGCGCGGGCGCAGGCGCGGGCGACGGCGCGGGCGACGGCGCCGCGGCGGCGCTGGACGTGAGGACGCAGCTCTCGGTGATGTAGACCGTGCCGTAGCCACTGGCGTGGCCCGCGACGAGCGTCACGGACGCGCCCGCGGCCGGCGCGACGAGGTCGGCCTCCGAATCGTAGGACCGCGCGTTCCCACAGCTCCCGCTCTCGAACGTCGCGCCCGCGATGCCGATGTTGAACGACGCCGAGCCGACGCCGCCGACGGCGACGCGCAGCGCCTCGCCCTCGGCGACGGTCCCGCCGCAGGCGACGGCGCCGCCGGACGCGTCCGTGACCTCGATGGCCAGCGACGACGCGACGGAATAGGAACTCATCCAGAACTGGCCCACCTCCAGCGCCTCGCCGCAGCCCACGGACGACGGAAAGGACGACGTCGTGGGCAGCAGCGCCAGGGCGAGGAGACGCCACATCGGCGGTGTTTTTATGGGGCCGCTTCGCAGCTTGGCATTCCACGCCATGGCTCTTTTTCCAAGGGGTAATAAATAGTATGGGGTGGCAGCTCAACGAGATTATGTTGCGCGAGCTCCTCGTACTGCAACCCATCGTTTTGGGGCAATGTTGACGACTTTTGGCCGGGGACTTTTCGACGCCGCCGTCGTCGACGCGGCCCCAGACGGACCGCAGCGGTATTCGCTCCCCCGCGAAGGCGCCCGCGACAAGACTTACGCGTCCGGGCGGTTCGGGTCCGGTGGAAGGAAACCGAGGCGCGCTGGAGGGCACCGTGTCCGGTTTGGCGCCACGCGAGGAAGGGGGTTTTGGGGCAGCTCTTGGACGTGTTCGCGATGATGATGGTCGTGGACCGTCTGCTGGCGCTGCAGAGCCCTTCGTTGGTACCTATGGATGGGCTCGAGCATCTCAGGACACGAAAAGTTCTCGACCTCGAATGCCCGCACGCTGCCCGAGAAACTGTGTTGCGACACCGTCGGCGCCGGGGCTGCGCAGGCTCTGAGATCGTGGGAAAAGTGTGTCCTGAAGGTTTCGAGCCCCCCGCGGGTACCCATAGGGCGCCTCCAACCTCTAAGGACAAGAAAATATCGCACACTCGAC